GAAAGTAAATTTTGCAAATACAAATTTTTCTTTTCAAACTATTCTAGTTTGATTTGCAAATCTTTGATTTTACTTTCAAGATCGTTGTTGGTTTTGGATATGAGTTTATTTTCATTTTTAAATTTTGAAACATCATTTTTATATTTTAAAAACAATTTCTCATAATCCGAAGCCAACCCATTATATTCCTCTAATAACTCATCATAGGATAAATCATCAAAATCAGATGAGTTAGAGGTTACCTTAGAATCTTCCCCGAATGCCATCAAGCACAAGTTTGCTACTTCTTGTTCCTCTTCATCGGAACCTTCTTCATCGCTCCATGTAGCCACATGATCCTTGTGCTTATTCTTTGATTGACCATTTCTCTTCAATTGTGGGCAATCATATTTGACATGCCCCGGCTTTTTGCATTCATAGCAAATGATCGAGTCCTTCTCTTTTGGTTCATTTTTGAGGCCTTTATTTCGTTTGAATTTTCTTCCTCAGTAAGGTCTCATCATTTTTCTCAATCGTTTGGCAAATAATGACATTTCCTCGTCATCCGAATCACTTTCATCTTTTGTGGATTTGAGAACAACTCTAATGTTTTTCTTCTTCTCATTCTCCTTTGGTGTCTCTTTAATCTTATCAAGGTCCACCTCATCTTCAAGCATCATTTCATGAGTGAGGAGTGAACCGATTAGCTCTTCAAGAGTTAAGGACGTTAGATCCTTAGACTCGATGATTGCCGTCTTCTTTGATTGCCACGATTTTGAGAGGGAGTAGACTAACTTCCTCACAAGCTTTTCATTTGAAATGATCTCTCCATATGATTTGAGACCATTGACAATCGTTGAGAATCTATCCGTCATAGCTTTGATATCTTCATTTGGTTTCATCCTGAAATTTTCATAGCTGTGCGTTAGAATACTAATTTTAGATTTCTTTACCTCATCGGTACCTTCATGAGTGACTTAAAGTTTATCCCATATTTCTTTGGCGGTTGTACAAGATGAAACTCTTTCGTATTCATCTGGTCCAAGAGCACAAAATATGATATGGATGGCTTTGGAGTTGAGCTGGAACATTTTTGCCTCTCCTTCACTCCATAATCTTGGATGAGTGAGAGGCTTGAAGTATCCTTCTTCTACGACATTCCATGCTCCCATGTCACTTGCTTGAATGAAGTATATCATCCTATTTTTCTAATAGGCATAATTAACCCCATTGAAGAAATGAGGCTTATTGACGGGCATCGAATCGAGACCGGAGTCGAAGTTTAAAGTAGAGGTCATTGATGACTTTGATTATCGATGTAACTCTTCCCGAATCGACTCAAGAGGCGATTAAACCTTCAAATGAGTTAGGCTCTGATACCAATTGTTGAGTTAATCGATTGACGGAATAGACTAAGAGGGGGTGAATTGGCAATAAAAATTTTGGTGGAAGCTTTCGAGAAAATTGAAAGAAATTGCACAACGATTTAGAGTGGTTCGACTTTCTCAACCAAAGTCTACGTCCACTACCTTAGCTATCCACACTAAGGATTTTCCACAATGGCTGTCCCTTTTTCCCATATGTATAGGTAAGGGGGAGGTAAGATAGTAGGCTACCCCCAACACCAGGTTGAGAGCAGCTTCCGTAAGAGACATCTGAATTATGAAATACCCTCCGTGAGACTTCATAATTTGGAGGTCTCTTACGGAAGCTACTCTCAACCTGGTTTTGGAGGTAGCCTATTATCTTACCTCCCCCTTACCCCATACATATGGGAAAAAGGGACAACCATTGTGGAAAATCCTTAGTGTGGATAGCTAAGGTAGTGGACGTAGATTTTGGTTGAGAAAGTCGAACCACTCTAAATCGCTGTGCAATTTCTTTCAATTTTCTGCGAAAGCTTCCACCAAAATTTTTATTACCAATTCACCCCCTCTTGGTCTATTCTGTCAATCGATTAACTCAATAATTGGTAGCAGAGCCTAACTTGAGGTTTGATGCTTTCTCTTTGATTATCTCTTGATTCTAGTTGCTTGATGTTTCTTGTTCCTGATCAATGACTTCTAAGCTTGTTTAAATACATCTTCAAATGATTCTGAACGTTGGGGATACTTAGTGGAGTCAATATAGCCGTTTAAGTGTGAAAACAATTAATTAAAATAGTTGGGAGCGTCAATGCATCGATGCATACCCATGGTGCATCGGTGTAAAATTCAAATATTTTGACCGTTGAACCCTTAGTGCATCGGTGCACTAAGAGTGCATCGATGCATCAAGTGCATTCGATGTTTCAAAATAGCCAGAGTGCATCGATGCATCAAATGCATTCGATGTTTTCATAAAATCCTCAGTGCATCGGTGCATGGTATGTGCATCGATGCATGAAATGCATTCGATGTTCAATTTAATTCATGGTGCATCGATGCATGGATTGGTGCATCGGTGCATCACTCTGAAAAATTGATTTTAGGCTTGATTTTGGTTCAAAATACTTTGTGAAAATTGTTTCAAAAATATATTAAGTATAAAACAAAATTTTACACATTTAGTAAGGTTTGAAATTGATCTTAAAAGACTTGGAGTAATAATTTGATATCCAATTAATTAAATCGAATATACTTAGAAAATCATTTGTAAAATCTTAAAATTCATTTAAATTTAATTTGTTATATCAAAACACAAAATGTTTTCAACACACTGACTTGGATCCACTGACTGTTGCATTCTTCTATAAGGAACTTGGATGTCATGGTTGTTTCCCGAGCATCAAACAAGGCTAGTTTTATGTGAACCTAGATGTTATTGTTTCTATTATTCTGTTATTCATTTCTATTTTCGTTTGAAGTCTTATTTACTGTTGTTATAGTGTATTTAGTATACATCAGGTATCATCCCTAAATCCTTGGATTATTTATCCAAATCTGTTCGTGGGTGTCGATATTGATCCTTCAGTATCGATACTAAACCTTTGGTATCGATACCCACATGTTGGTATCGATACCCCCTAGCTGACGTGGCTTTTGGATCAAGGTAGTATCGATACTAAGGTGTTGGGGTATCGATACTTGACTGAGTATTGATACCAAATTTCAATTCGATGTTTTGAAAAATACCCCAATATCGATACCCCTATGGGGAGTATCGATATTCCTGTCCTGGTATCGATACTCAATGAATGATATCGATACTGCCCTTATAAAACTACCTAATTTACCTCTGACTGAAGAACAGTATCAATATTGTTCTTACAGTATCGATATTGATGTTGTTGGGTGCCTGTTTTGGCACAAAAATCCTACCTTTCCATACCTCAATACCCTATTTGATGTTTAGATGCTTTATGTGATAATAGAGGTTATAATGGGTCTATAAGCATGTTGAAAACACTCAAACAATGCAATCTACCATGAATTCTTAAAGCTTATGCAACTTACCAAATCAAACCTAGATGAACTGCATATGGTATAGATGAGTTAAGAGTGAGTTACTTGAGTGTTTAGACTGTTGGGTGCTCAAAGCTCAACCTAAAGTAAGCTTCTCCTTCTCTCTATCTTAATAGCTCTCTCCAATCTCTCTCACTAAGCAATAATCAAAGAATGAGGGTCACTACTGGATATTGAGGTTTAGGAAAAAGATATTTCTTGGTGGAAAGACACTGCACATCTCATGCCACATATTATATATATGATGTTGTAAATTATGACCATATGAGGTACTTGGTCTAGTGGTTCAAGCTTTACTCCTAAGGTTAGACATGGGTTCAATGACGCATGTCATGAACTGATTGGGTAATAAAATAAATTGATTAAAATTAATAAAATATCATTCAATCTTGTTAGTGACAAGTGTCATTATTTGATTCAAATATTAAATTTATTTTAATTTATTAAGATCAAATTGATAGAATATATAAATAACAATAACTAAATGTGTAATTATACCAATTTACTAACTGCCACATCATACTACCATTAAATGTTAACGGATAGTGGCTTGATTGAACCTATTTAAATAATTGAGTGATCTGATTGACAATAATTCAAAAATAATTATCAAAATGAAAATGTTATTAAAGAACTAGAACTAATAACAAACTAAAATAATATAATTTACTTTTTAATTGTCTTAATATAAAGAGGAATTAAATATTATAAAATTGAGTTAAATTAGATAATCTCACAAGGTGATAAAAATGAATTAAAAATCGAATTTAGCCTTGTCCCAATCCACCGTTTAAATTGAGAAAAGTCGTTCCAAATAAGAACGATAACGGTTACCATCAAACGGATATTTCCAAAGGCCAAAACCGAATAAATAATAGGAAAAGGGAGCATTAAAGAGATGTCCACCAAACTCGATATTTAATTTAAACTTCAAAAGAAAATCTATTAACAAAGGTATAATATCACACTAGGTGCAATAATTTCATCAAATATTCAATATAGCACATGTATTTTATACGATTTTTGATTAATTGAATTCATGACGGTCCCTCCGACTCCTTCGAGTAAAACATAATCATACGTCTAAGACATTCCACCAAGGCTTAAACCTTACGCATAATCTTATATCTTATGATGTCTACAAAAAAATTGGGTCACTTGCTCTTTTAATATTGTCTTCATAAACCGTATATCCCATTATACATATAATCATATTTATTTATCATTCAATGTGATATATTTGTATCTAGACATCCTGGTACAATCTACTACTGTACTTGACTTCACAATGGTCTATTTATAGAATTAGTCCACTACTGCTTCCCACTCCACACTCTTAAAAAGCAGCCTTTTCCTTAGAATCGAAGCATATTGTACTTATAAATTTCAACCCAAGCTTCCCCTTTCCACAAGGAATGGTCCAAAGAATGTTATACTATTCTTCAAGCTTTATTTTCAACAGGAAGATTCATGCAAAAAAATTATCAAACTATGGAGTAAATCAAAGCAAAAATTATTGCAAATAACAATACTTAATTCCATAAATATGAGAATGAGCGCAAGAAAACACAGTTTCAATGGTGCTTGGAAGGTCAAGCACCTTTACCAGATAGATTATTCCCTCAGGACGGCTCCATAGCACAAGAAAACCCAAGGGAATGACTCGGACTCATTTCACTTTTAACTCGGCAAAACACAGTTTTTTTTTAACGAACTCACTCACAAAAAAAAGCATATCACTAAGAACCCATCTTGGGGTTCCAGAGATTAACAGATAACGCTTCTAACTGCAAAATTTATGGGCAAGCTATGTTGAGGGGGGCGGCAACTTCATCGAAAAGAAAGTCATCGGTGCTGAAATCACAATCGGGTAGCTCGCTGGGCTCGCATGCTCCGATACCGCAAATACTTAGGTCTTCGATGCTGCAGTAATCCTCCAGCATCATTCCGAAATCGTTGACAAATAGAAAATCATCAGCTTCAGTGCCTATGTTGTTAAGTTCTTGGTCAACTGAACCAGAGAGCAGTGGATCATCGATGAAACAGAGATCGGGTATTGGTATATCAGCGAAGTTAACATCGAACATCTCTTTGTTTGTATCACCGCGGTCATCGTTGTTGTTCGAGATTGAAACAGAAGTGGAAGTATCCACCTCAAGAACCGATGGGGAAGTACGCGACAAAGGGCCCTCGGACTCCTCGGAAGTAGAGGCAGTCGTGCTGTTGTGAGAAGCGGCGGCGAAGCATGAAAGGTCGTTGGTTTTCTCAGACGAAACTGAAGCAGCATCAACGGCCAGAGACTCGAACTCGAGCTTTTTAGCATCGTAAGCCTTGGCTGCTTCTTCAAGAGTTTCGTAAGTACCCAACCAAATCCTGGTTTTCTTCAGTGGATGCCGGATTTCAGCAGCCCACTTGCCCCACTTCCTTTGACGAACGCCAACAGGTTTCTTCGTTTTAGCAACCTTAGACTTCTTGCCTTCGAGGGTTTTGGTCCTAACCCTCTTCCTGCTGGTCGGGGTTTTAGTGTTACTGCCTTGAGAAGAAGTCTCGGATTCTAGGGGTTTTGCTTGTGAAGCCAAACCCAAAACAGGAACTCTGATTTCACGAACAAATCGCCTTCCCTTGGGGGCTTTTCTAGTTTCCTCGGATTCATCTTCACTAGAAGACGAATCAGTCGCATACGGATCATTGAACATGACTCGAACTTTTCTAGTCATTTGGGCTTCATCTTCAGCCATGGTAGATTCGGCTTTCTTGGTCTTTCTGCATGATTTACTTGGATTCATGGTTTGTTTTCGATGGTTAAACATTTTTTCTGGAAACAAAAATGGCTAAAAACTCAAGCTAAAACCCCCCTCAAATCTGTGGACAAACTACGAAAACAAAATCAAGGGAAAAATGGGTGAACAAAATCTCTCAAAGCAGAATCAACTATGAGCCCCTCTAAGAAACAAGAAAAGATAGAAAAACCGTTGTCTTATATGGAAACCTCCAATACACTCAAATCCGAAACAAGACCTGCAAACGAAAAAAAACCCCGACATCAAAACCCAGAACAAAAATATTCAGATGAAAAATCTAACACGTTTGTTTGAATGTTTTGACATACTTTTTTGATCTCAAACGCATCGAAACAGTCGGGAACACGAGATTCACTCTCTGCCTAGAGAAGCAGAGAATCATGCAAGAAACAGCCAACAAAGCAGAGAAGAACAAGCGTGCACAGGTAATAGTTGTTGAAGACGAAGAAGAAAAACAGAGCTGCAACTGAGCCCCACTCGAAGCCAAATCAAACTCAGCCGACATAAATCCACTGATCAGCCTCCCTTTAGTGCTCTTCACAAGCGCAACGGAAACCACCACCGAAGATAAGAGAAAGAAAAGCTCACAACAAAGCCTCCTCTATGGCCTTAGATACTACTACTAGATCCGAAACAGGAAAAAAGAGGGATTAAAAATATATGGCTATGATCTTTCTCTCTCTGTGCTCTGAAACTCTAAAAGCTAACAAAAATCCAACAGTTTACGAAAGGTAAGATTACAAGTAAAAATAAAAGATTAATAAGAATAGGATTATAAGGAATGTTGTATTTTATATTTAGTTGGTTTAGTAAGAATGTAAGATTACCGTGTTTGGTTAAAAGAATAAAAGATTATTAGAATGTATATTTAATTAAATTATCCTTATTATATATTTGTATAATATTACAAATTATAAAATATTTATATATTTTTTAAAAAAAAATTAAATTCATAATATTTATATAATTTTTTTATAAAATTAAAAATATAAAAAATATTTAATGAAAGGGTAAAAAAAATTTAATATCTGAACTTCATATAAAATTTTAATTATAGATTTTTTTGTAAATCTAAAATAATTTAAGGATAAATGTGTAATTTAACATTCGTAGAATTTTTATTATTCAATGACAGAAGAATGATATTTTTGAAAAAAAAAAATTAAGGTATTTTAGTTCAAAACGCCGGTAATATTACAATACCTAAGAAGAGGTAATGACATTCCCAGTAATATACCCTAAAAAATCTACTATTGGTAATAAAACATTACGAGAATGAGATTTTCGGCCAACCAAACATGAAAATGTCACGTTCCTTGAACCAATCATCCTTTTACTACAAACAGTAATATAGACCACGAGGTAACGGACACCGCCACAGTAAAAAAGAGTGTAAAAAATTACCGATCAACGAGGTGAACACATAACACACGTCTCATTGGGAGAAAATATAACGAATTAAATATTTACCCCAAAACCCAATTTTCATTTCCCTAAGAAAAGTCAGTAAAATAATAATATTAGTTTCCCATTACCTTCTTTCTCCCTGTAGTGGGTGTGGACTGAATCTGGATCTTCTTCTAATCTTATTCAAATCTTTGACGTCGCTCTCTCTTTTTTCCACTTCTGCTGCTCTGTTTTTCTCCCAAGGCCATCCACCTTTTTACCACGCCCAGCAGACTGAAGTCGGCATTAAAGAGAATCTATATAATATTATCGAAATAATAAAAAAAGGAAAAAGGGTTAAAATTAAATTTTTTGATTTAGTTATGGAAATAAATAATGAAAAATTAGCTGTCATGCATTACCCCATCAATGCATGACAAGTCTATTGCCAAATATTTACCGTTCATTGCTATCATGTTTTTCACTGCCCTGGCTTTTTATTTATTTATTTGCACTAGGTTTTCTTTAACCAATGCTCGCCACTCGCGATTGTGAGCACGCTTGCATCGGCGATCGGTTTAACTTTGGCGCCCTGGGAATGGTCCCTTGAATGCGTGTTGAGTACACGCGCGAAGTGTTAGGAGGGGGATAGAGAGTCTGGCGTTTGCAGCTTTATTTTGGTATAAACGAAGCGCCGCGATTCGGCAAACGTACTGGGGAAGGGCTCTTCTTGGTCTTACACTGAATTGCCGTAACATTCGGGTATGGGACTTAGTAAATTACATTATTGCCACTGAAGTGACCACAATTCTTCTACGGTCTATAATTCTTTTTTTTTATAGATCAAATTTTTATTATTCAAAGAACATAGTTATGCTATAAAATACAATCAATCAAATACGAAAGTATTATGCACAACCTGTTTACAAAGATAAAGATTGGTTAAGTAATACTTCATGCATACAAAGCTTAGAGTTAATTTTACCAGCTCTATTAATATTTTTATCCTTAAGTTGGATACGCACAGCTTCAATAATAACATTGAGCAATTCATCAGTAGATCTGTGGCGACGTTGGAAAATTTTGTGATTCCTTTCCTCCCACAATGTGTAAATATAGGTTGTCCAAGATATCTTCAGGATTGTAATGAGTAAGGATTTCCCTTTCGATTAACCATTTCTTCCCATGTAAGATGATGTATTCTTCAAGCCATTAAGCGATAGGACGGAGCACCAAAGTCGAACTGCCATAATGCATTGACATAAAATATGATTTCTTGTTTCCTGTTCATCTCTGCAGTTAACACAAGTCCCTTCTGTTGAAATTCCCATTTTGAGGAGCCGATCTCTAATTGGTAATCTGTTTAACAAAGACATCCAAACAATCAAACTGAATTTAGGAATATGCATGGGAAATCAAATAAGATTATGCCAAGGAACTTTCTCCCTTTTGATTCGGATTGATTCCCAAATATCTTTTAGCCTAAGAGAACTTGAAGAGGAGAAGATGCTGAGAGCAGTAGAACGCAATTTTAGAAGTCTATTAATACTCCAGCTCACATTAGAACCTGCAGCAAAATTCCAAAAATCTTGATCTTTGAAAACATAAGAATTTAACCAAGCCACCCAAAGCGAGCCATCACCCGCTAAGATTTTCCTAATAAGATCAATAGAACACGCTTTGTTCCAGATTTTAGTGTTATTTAGACCAAGGCCACCTTCCGCTTTAGAGAAGCAGATAAAATCCCAGCTTACTCGAGCACCCATGGCAGACTTGTCGTCACCTTTCAGAAAAATCTAGAGCAGAGTTGGTCCACTTTGGCAAGAATTGAATTGGGAAGGATAAGCTGTCTGCACCAATAGTTCGAGACGCTGAATAGGACAAAGGATTAATTCAAGTCTGCCAGCTTAGCTCAGATTTCTAGCAGAACAATGGTGAAGCCTCTGTTTAATTTTATCAATAAGCACAACACAATCCTTCTCAGTAATTTTACGAGTAACAAGAAGAATACCTAAGTATCTCACAGGTAAGCTTTGCTTTGGGTGATAACCAAACACTCTTTGACAACAACCAAATTAAGCATCTTAGATAAAACTTGCATATCAAGAACAAAAAGAGTAGGGGAGAGAGGATCACCTACCTTAAACCTCTAGCTCCCTTGAAGTAACCAATGAGAGAGCCATTAAAAGAGATGGAATACCTAGCTTGAGTGAAACAAGTCTCAATCCAAGCTATAAATCTAGGAGGAAGATTGAGGGCTTTGAGAATAGAGGAAATAAAATCCCAATGGAGCGAGTCAAAAGCCTTATGAAGGTCAATCTTCATGGAACATCTAAGAGAAATAGATTTCCTACCATAAACTTTGACCAATTCTTGAGCGAGAATGGTATTATCAACAATGCTCCTACCATTGATAAAAGCAGTTTGGTTTAAAGAGATAATATCAGGGAGAAATTCAGACAATCTTTTAACTAAAATTTTAGTGATGACTTTGTAAAAAACAGAATAACGGGAGATAGGTCTGAAATATTAACAACTTGAGGATTTGGAACTTTGGGAAAAAGAGCAATGACAGTGGAATTAAATCCAGAGTTCATGAAGTTGTTATGGAAAAAATATTTAACATCAGCCAAGACGTCTTCTCCCATAATAGACCAAGCCTTCTTGAAGAAACAGGGAGAATAACCATCAGGTCCAGGGGCTTTATCGTTCCCTTGACTGAAAAAGGCATCTTGAATTTCTTTATTTGGAGAGAATAATAATTCTACAGCTCTTTAAAGGAAGAATGATCAATGTTTTTAACTCTGTTGTCAACAGATCCAAGCAAGTTAGAAAAAGAGGAAGTAACTTCCTTAGCCATATCATCGAAAGATTCCAAACGATTGCCATTATCATCAATAAGTACACAAATGGTGTCTCTCTTGTTCTTTAAAGCAAGAATATAATGGAAGAATTTTGTGTTCTTATCACCATTTTTAATCCACTTAATTTTTGCCTTTTGTTTAAGAAACAAATTTTCAACTTCTTCAAGAGTCTTCAGCTCATCTTGAATGATTATCTCCTTTCAATTCCATCCTCACCTTTTAAGGTACGGAGTTGTTGCAATTCCAGCTCCACCCTTTTAACTTTCACTTGAGTAGGGAGATTTTTGAAGTTTTAATTGTTAAACTCTTTAAGGGAAGCTTTGAGTCTTTTAAGCTTAGTAAAGAGGACAAACATAGGGTTACCAGAAGCATTTGGGAGCCAAGAGTTCCTCACAACATTCAAGAAGCAAGGGTGAGCAGACCAGAAATTAAAAAATTTGAACGGTTTTGGTATATTAAAATGAGACTCTTTGGCAAGGTTGACAATAGCCATACAATGATCTGAGATACTAGGAGCAAAGAATTCCACAAAAGAGAGAGGAAAGGAAGTAACCTATTAAGAATTTAATAAGAACCCTATCAAGCTTCCTAACAATAAAAAAATCTTTCTGCTTGTTACTCCAAGTGAAAGTAGGACCAAAGAAAGGGTGATATAGAAGATCTAATTCTTGAATAATATCTTGGAAATCTTTCATATCAACAGTAGTATAGTGACCAAGGGTAATGACAAACAGAAGAATTAACATGTTTTAATTGGTGCCATAATTGCCTCCTAACAATTCCATCATTGCTACCATAAATAGCAGATAAGAAAAGAGGGGAACCATTGTAGGAGCCCTTAACAGTGATAATTTGATCATAAATGAAAATGACATTGAAATCAAGACATTTTTTCCAAAGCAGCCAGATTATACCATTAAAAGCATAGTCGTAGTTAGAACTGATATTCCAATTTGAGAATTTAGAATTGAAAATTTTCTCTGAATTTTTAGCTTTAACTCTAGTCTCCAATAAGCATAAAACGTCTATTTTATCCTGAGTATCTCTATGGATCACTTTTTCTTGTTTGAGATGATTGTTAAGTCCTCTTTTGTTCCAAAATCTTAAATTCATTGGGAATGAGAAGATCCCATTTCACCCCCCACATTAAGACTTTTAGATTTTTCAACTAGATCTTTCTTTTTAGATTTTATTTCATTTACGAGACTTACTACTCCCAAAGAAGCAATTCTTACTTTTCTTTGCTGGTTATCTAAAGAAGTATGGATGTCATCAACTGAGTTTAGTATTTCGAATCTGTTCTTTGAACTAGCGAAAGAGACTTTAGAGTTAACCTTTGGAGGTCTTCCTCTACCCTTTTTAATATAAGCATGATGAGTAGAAACAACTTTTGAAATTTTAGAATTTTCAGG